AATTTCTTCTAGAATTTTTCATAAGAGTCGATCATTACAGTATTTAGTATTTCCAAATTCGGTAAAAACCCTGACTGAACTCTATTAAACGATATTTCTGCAACAATGTACCTTGCTGATTTAATAAATATTTTTAAAGAAATTAATCAATGTATTCCAGTTTAGAACATTTAGAGCATGCTGCAACAAAACCAGACAAGTGAACATTTGTATTACCAAGAACTTCAGGGTTCAATTTAGTAATGTGATTATTATGACTTAACAATTTTATAATCCCCCATCTGTTATCTTTTTTTTAATTGGTATATAAAACTATATATAAAAATAGTTAATATGAAACTGAACCCAAGAATCATAGCACCATTAGAAGTATTTTGAAGAAAGAACAAGGAGAAAAAATGGCCCCTTATATTTTCAAAATAAATGATACCCAGACATTGGAAACTTATCTAAGAAAAGTAAAGATTACCGTAAAGTCTGGAAAGATAGCACCCCCCGAAAGATAGCACCCCTTACTTTAAAACAATTGAGCGTCAATATAAAAAAAATGTTACACGTATGTAAAAAGGGATGCTATCTTTCCAGACTTTACGGTACCTATGAAATTTACCAAGAAAGAAAAATACTGAAATAATCAATGTTAGGAAAAAAACAGAATGAAAATGCATTATTATCTAACAAAAAGCAGAAACCTCTAGAAGGAAAATAATCACATTGTTGCAATGTTAATTTATTGTTTCTTTTTTAGTCCTCCTAACAACATAAATCATAGCAATTAAAACTTAAAAAGTTATATCTGTTATTCATAATTTCCTTTATTCTTTGAAATATTGTTTTTATATTTATTTGCAGCTTTGGCAAAATATTCATCTTTTGAGTCAGAGACTTTAGTTTTAACATGATTATATTTGTAATCAGAAAGAATGTAAATCTCATCCTTGTCAGTAATACTGTAGCTGCTTTTTATAATCATTGAATTATCATCAACAAGATATCAAAAGCCAAAATATTAACTTTCATCTAAAGGAAAATAACTATCATTTTCTTTGATAATTGGAATGAATTTCAATTTATACAGAGGAAAATAACCAACTTATTTTCAATCAGCATAGTGTATAGATTCATTAAAATTTCTAATCATCTGACTTTAACCCTACCAAAAATTATTTCTGGCTTATAAAACACATACTAATAGAAAGCTTAAGTTCTGTATAATATAATACCAAAGTAATTCGAAAAATGACAAGGTAATTCAGAAGTTAGATGAGAAGCATTTCCAAGCATTCAAAATAAATAGTGATAAATATATTTTATATATTATTTCATTATTAAATTTTTTTATTATTATAACAACTCAGACATTAAAAAAAATATTTAGTGAACCAACATGTTTAAAGGTACATTTATATAACCCTTTACACTTTGAAAAAATATTTATAGTTCTACAATATAAAGAAATAATTGCAACATGCTTGGATCTACTTGGCCAAAGAACAGTAGGAATATTATTATTCTGTTTATCATAGTTAATGCATTATAATAACAAGTGTGTTGAATAGTGTTCCATGTCGCAATCCAAAAGAGGAAACTTATATGATGCAAAGATGGTAGCAACCATCATCAAAAGTTACAGCTGGTATACTTAGTGTTGAATAATAATTATCTTATTAATGATGTAATATTTGAAATAGTTCTGCAACATAAAGAAACAATTACAACATGCTTGGATCTACTAGTCTAAAGAATGGTAGGAAGATTATTATGTTTCATCATAGTTAATAATACATTACAATAGCAAGTGTGTTGAATAAATATGTAAATGTTCAAATAATTATCACAATTATTTACAAATGTTTAGATATTTATTTAACACTGGTAATGAACTGATAATTTTATTGTTGTAAAATTATATATAAGTTATCTTTATTTGTTTGAATTTTACATCTTTAAATAATAAAAATACAGTTCTTAAAATACAAATATAAATCATA